AAGCCCGCCTCGAAACACCATTCCCGTAGTCGCCAGTTGTATTAATAGTTTTAATAGTTTCTGACTTTCTTTCCATAGAAACAGCAGTCGTATTTGGCTCTTATAATTTAATTATTATTCTGATGTTAAAGTGTAACAAATACAAAGTCCATTAAATTTTTTATTAGAAAATGGAAGTTTCTTAACATCTGGGTTCAGTAGATCTCTATATGGTTGATGCTTTGAAACGCGGAAGCAGCAGCAGCAATTGATGACTCTGTGCAGGTGTGGCATAGTTTAATCAGGATGACAAAATGCGATTTATATAGGAAACATGCTATTTTTGGATACTTATGTTGACTTGGATCCCTTGTGAATTAAACCATTTAATACACGAAATGGAAAAAGTGCTTCTAATCTTCCTTTTGAATGAGCCGTGAAATAGGATCCATGAACTGCCTGAAGTGTGAAGAGGTTAGCATGGCATGGTTCCAAGATTTTTTCCCTTTTCTTCTTTTTCTTTCTTTTTTTTAAACTAGATATTAGAAGATTTGCAGAGTTGGAACCTTGTGGGGAAACTGGTGTCACTTTCTATAAAACAATATAATGTTTATCTGAATATATCTCCCTTGCTCGCAACGAAAGTCTTCAAAGCTGAAGACTTTTTGAAACTGCTGTTTGAAATGCACTCCTTTGCAAATACATGATGTACTTTTCCAACAAGAATCACTTTAAGGAGAAGCCCAAGGCAGTTAATTCACTGTGCTCGCTGTCTGTAGTCACTGCTCCCTTTTTTTTTTTTTTTCAGCAGAGACTGCCAAGCACTCATATCTCATTTCTGTTTTAATAGAGACTGTTGTGAAAACAGTGGCACAACAGATTGCATGTAGCTTTTCTTCCAGGGAAGAGAAATTCCTATTATCTCTGCATGATATTGATGTAAAGGTAAGCTATAATGCTTGTATTTAAATAATTTTTGCTTCTGATATTCCATGCTACAAGCAGAATAAAAGTACATAGGCATAAAGACACTCAAATATCATTTTTATTGCTTTTTGTAACATTACTTTCCTATGAAACACTGATTTTTATACTCTTCAGCCAGATTTCCTGATTTATCTGTATTTTTCTCTCTCTTGATTATTTGTAACTCATGTATCTGGTGTATTCCTTAATTCTCTTTGTAGAATTTTTAATTCATTACATTTTCTGACTCCTCAAATAAAAATATATGTTATATTCACAGAAGTTGCTACTTTTTGTGGTGACTTGGTTTAAAATACATTTAAAAACTAAAACGGAGTAGGTGAATCATAGACACAATAGCCCCTATGGGCTGTCTCGTGAGTCATTTTATCTATAGTGCTGATCACTTGCAGCTTCAGCTTTTTTTTCTGTGTCTGTGAGTACATTTACACTTTTGGAAATTGGACTTTGTTAAATCAGCTTGATGCTTGAATCAGTGTCTGCACATGCAAACACTTCTGCTGTGATGCTGACATGGGTATAGCAGTGACTAAGTGTGGCCTTTTTCCAGTTCCTGCAAGTGGACATGTGTAACACCAGCAATACTGTCCATAAGAGTAACAAGGACAGCTCAGTCCTCTGTGGTTAGCCTAGAGTGGCAGAGTTTGGAAACTCTTGCCTCGTATTACATCTATCCCCATAGGAATAGTGGAGAAAGGAGGAGCATAGACCTGTTTAGGTCCACCTTTATGAATTAATTGTGCTTATTATTAAGCCTACCTCAGTGTCTGGGAAGAAGTGAGACTGCACACTCACAAAAATTGCAAACTGTCCTAGGCTTGGACTGCTTCTCCCTCTTTTTAAACTGGTTTGTACCTGATCTAATACAATGGGGGAGGTTCTTCTTTAGAGCTCTGTAAGCACTGTCATAATGAAATAATAATGTCCAAAAATAATGCAATTTGAATATTTTTGGTTAGTTAAAGTGGAGCTAGCTCTGAAAGTAGACAGAGCTGAACGCCAGTCCATCAGATACCTGTAAAAGATGTGCTTGGCAATCTTGCATGCCATGCATAATGGGCAACTCGCTTCAACTGTGAACTAATTATCTGATGTTTTAACAGGCTGCAAAATAAGAGACACCTTTTTAACACCCCCCCCCCCAAAAAAAAAAAAAAGCATGAAGACAGGGGTTGGAATATTTCTTTTCCACTGAAAGTTCAGCCAAAAAAAAAAATTATTCACGTATTTTACTAGCTCTAGTTAACAGCTGGAGAGGAATCTTTCCTGCAAAGTGCAGTGGTAATACAGGGGATGGAATCCTTCCTTCTCGGGCAGCACTGAATTCTGATCCAGAAAGGGGCACCCTGCGGCTGAAGTGCTGAGTGAAACACAAAATCAATGCCATTCTTGTCTTGTACGAGATCAGTTATTAAAATCAGACTGTAGATGACCAGTTCCTGTGCACATAAAATCACCTACAGTGTACACAAACACATATATATACACCCCCCCATAAGATCACATGTTTTTACATGCTTTCTTTTAATTTATTTTGGTAATATCTTATAGCTGGTAATGCTGGTTGTTGTTGATTACATCCCTTGGCGTTGGTCTATAGATGACCAGTTGTTGACCTTGTGAGTACAAAAACCTCTTGTACTATAATTACCTAGTCTCCATGGCACTTAAATTGCACTCGGATATTCTGTGAGGAGATATTTTGTAGAGAGGTTCAGAACTTATTTACCAGTGAGCAGTTTTTGCCTGAGGACCATGATTTCAAGTCATCTTTTTATACGCAAAATTGGTTTTCTTTTAACATTTACAGAAACTCACTATCACATTTGCTTTTCATTGCTTTGTAATGCTCTTAGACATTTAACATCTCAAAATGAATAGCACCATATTTTTTTAGGAAAAAAGTAAACGGGTAGCCAGATTCTTAGCTGTTATAAATAGATGCAAGTCCAGTGAACTCAATATAGGTATGCTGATTTATTTTTTTTTTTTAGCGGTGGCTGATCAACCTGAGATTTTTCCCACTGTTACCACTCCCTACTACCCTGCAACCAAAAGTGAGATGCAATTAATTGTATTGTACCTTCGTAGTTAAAAAAAAAAAAAAAAAAAAAAGGGGG